CTTCCCTGTCCTGCGTCTGCACTCTGACAGAGGTGGGGAGTTTTCCTCTGGCCTCTTGGAGACCTTCTGTCAGCAGGAGGGCATTGAGCAGTCGTTCACGCTTCCGGCCTCTCTACAGCAGAATGGGGTTGCTGAGCGCTGCATTGGCTTGGTCATGGAGGTCGCTCGTACCTCCTTAGTTCATGCGGCTGCCCCCCACTTTCTGTGGCCGTTTGCAGTCCGATACGCTGCGCATCAGCTCAACCTCTGGCCCCGTGTCTCCTTACCGGAGACTTCTCCGACACTGCGTTGGACGGGAGAGGCTGGCGATGCGTCGCGTTTTCGGGTCTGGGGATCTCGAGCTTTTGTTCGCGATACGTCCGCGGACAAGCTCTCCCGTCGAGCTGTCCCCTGTGTCTTCCTTGGCTTTGTCCCGGACGCGCCTGGTTGGCAGTTCTACCACGCCACCTCGCGTCGTGTCCTGGCCTCTCAGGACGTCACTTTTGACGAGTCCGTCCCCTACTACCGCCTCTTCCCCTACCGCACTGCCCCGCTCCCCCCCCCGCCTCTCTTCCTCGCTCCAGGTGCTGAGGTACCAGACCCCCTCCCCCCTCAGGGTGCCGCTCCCTCAGGTGTGTCCCAGGTAGACCCGGGTGAGCCTGTCGAGGTAGCTGTTGACTCTCGTCCTGCTGGGGGTGCTGAGCCTGACCGTGAGGAGTCTGAGGGAGGTGAGCCTGGGGGTGCGGAGCCTGGGGGTGCGGACCCTGGGGGTGCGGAGCATGGAGGTGCTGAGCCTGGGGGTGCGGAGTCTGGAGGTGCTGAGCCTGGAGGTGCTGCGTCTGGGGGTGCTGTGTCTGGAGGTGCTGAGCCTGAGCGTGCTCCACCTGGGGGAGCCCTCTCCTCCCAGCAGCTGCAGGAGAGGTACCTACAGTACTGCCGCCTCCGGAGAGGTGCTGCTGGAGCTCGTACCAGTACTTCCCCTCCTACCCAGGAGCTCCCCCCCATTCAGCAGATCCGAGAGTGGTACGCGCGGCGCTGCAGTCTTCGGAGTGGTGCTCCTGGTGCTGCAGACCCTGGGGGTGGCGCTGCTGCTGGTACTGAGGACCCGGGCGTTGGAGCTACTGCTGGTGCTGAGGACCTGGGCGGTGGCGCTGCTGCTGGTGCTGAGGACCCGGGCGTTGGAGCTGCTGCTGGTGCTGAGGACCCGGGCGGTGGCGCTGCTGCTGGTGCTGAGGACCCGGGCGTTGGAGCTGCTGCTGGTGCTGAGGACCCGGACGTTGGAGCTACTGCGGGTACTGAGGACCCTGCTGCTGGTGTCTCTGCTCGTTCTGGAGACGCTGCGCGGCCGCGACCGTACTTCATACCGCTCCTTCAGCAGGTTCTTGGTCAGACTCCTCCTCCTTGTCCTCCTTCCTCCGTAGAGTGTCCTCCGCCTGTCCCGCCGCAGTCACAGTTACCGCCTGCCTCGCCTCTCCCTGCTCCCTCTCCTTACGCTGGTCCCACGGGAGGTCTTACAGAGCGTCGTGAGCCTGAGTCTCGTCCTGCGTCGCCTGTTCGTACTGCTCGCACTGGCCGTCGTGTCCCACGTGAGCGTCCTCCTCCTGTCCCTGGCACTCACTACATGACTCTGCGTCCCTCCACTGCTCCTCAGCGTGTCCCGCTGCCGTCTCCTCCTGCGTCCTCTCTTCCTACTCTTCCTGACCCGGAGTCTGACTCCCGTCGTGCTGCCAGTCCCACTGTCACGCGTCTTCTCGCTACTGTTGTCACTGACCCTACCTTTGAGTCCTCTGCTGCGTCTGCTCTGGTCGCTGAGTTGGTAGACTTTGCTGCCCGGTGTCGTCTAGACTACGCCACTAGCCTTGTTGCTGAGTCCGAGTCTGAGTCTGTCTGTCCTCCGTCCGTCGGGGGTGTGTGTGCTCTTGGCACGGACGTCCTTGAGGACAGACAGGAGGAGTTCCAGTGCTTTGCTGCTGCTTTGCCCCATCTCGTGTCCATGCTAGTTGCCCCTGAGGGAGACCCGGATGCACCAGACATCCCGACCCCGCGCACTTACGCTGAGGCGATGGCGGGTCCCTACTCCTCTCAGTGGCAGACAGCCATGGACGCAGAGATGGCTTCCTGGAAGTCCACACGCACCTACGTCGACGAGGTTCCCCCACCTGGGGCGAACATCGTCAGTGGCATGTGGATTTTCAGGGTGAAGCGGCCACCGGGTTCTCCTCCTGTCTTCAAGGCGCGCTATGTGGCTCGAGGCTTCAGTCAGCGAGAGGGAGTTGACTTCTTCCAGACCTTCTCCCCCACCTCGAAGATGACCACTCTTCGGGTGCTGCTGCACATAGCCGCTCAGCGCGACTACGAGCTTCACTCACTTGACTTCAGCACTGCTTTCTTGCAGGGCAGCCTGCACGAGGAGATCTGGCTACGCCGCCCTCCTGGCTTCACTGGGTCGGTTCCTCCTGGTACCCAGTGGAGGCTTCAGCGGCCGGTCTACGGTCTCCGCCAGGCACCGCGTGAGTGGCACGACACACTGAGGACGACACTTGCGGCTCTTGGGTTCGCTCCCTCTACTGCTGACCCGTCACTGTTTCTACGCACAGACACCTCGCTGCCGCCGTTCTACATCCTCGTGTACGTCGACGACTTGGTCTTTGCCACTGCTGACACCGCGGCACTCGCCCACGTGAAGTCGGAGCTGCAGAGGAGACACACGTGCACAGACCTGGGTGAACTGACAAGCTATCTTGGCTTGCGGATCACCCGGGACAGAGCACGGCGCACCATCACCTTGACTCAGTCACACATGGTGCAGCAGATCCTTCAGCGCTTCCGCTTCACGTACTCCTCGCCTCAGTCCACTCCTCTGCCTACCGGTCACTCGCTCTCAGCTCTGCCTTCGGATGAGTCCGTAGAGCCGAGTGGCCCGTATCCAGAGCTTGTGGGCTGCCTCGTGTACCTGATGACCTGCACTCGACCTGACCTTGCATACCCTCTTAGCATCCTTGCACGCTATGTCGCTCCTGGCCGTCACAGGAAGGAGCACATGGATGCCGCTAAGATGGTGTTGCGCTACTTGTGCAGTACGTCGGGCATGGGGCTAGTGCTTGGAGGGCGAGACCGAGTTGTACTTACTGGACACTTGGACGCTTCTTGGGCGGACGACCAGGCTACTCAGCGGTCGTCTCAGGGTTACACCTTCAGCCTTGGCTCTGGCTCAGTTTCTTGGCGTTCTACACGCTCTTCTTCTGTTCTCAGCTCCAGTTGTGAGGCTGAGATCTACGCCACAGCCATGGCTGCCCAGGAGCTACGCTGGCTGACCTACCTGCTGACCGACCTGGGAGAGCGGCCTCGTTCTCCTCCAGTGCTGTACGTCGACAACCAGGCTGCCATTGCCTTGTGTGAGGAGCACAGACTGGAGCACAGAACGAAGCACATTGCCCTGCGGTACTTCCTTGCTCGAGAGCTGCAGCAGCGTGGTCAGCTACGTCTGCGTTACGTGGCCACTGAGGCCAACCTTGCTGATGTGTTCACCAAGGCGCTTCAGCCTTGTGACCATCAGCGTTTCTGTACTCTTCTAGGCCTTGTGCCTGCTGGACCTCACTTGCTTACTTCTTGACTCTGTTTGTACTGTGATCTCTATATATATATACATGCATGTTTATACTTGCTAGGTTGTGATCACTGTATGTCTTGCTACATTATCAAACTGCATGTGAACTGGTCTTGTGACCGCTTGCTTGTGCTCGGAATTTGTGTGGTATCCTTGAGATCCACCCTGAGCCTGTTTTGCTTTGCTTTGCTTTGCTTTGACTGGTCTCGTGACCCTCTGGTTGTCTCCCACTGCGCCTATGGGGGTGTGTCAAACATTGTATGTTTATATTGTGTAGGCTATAGTGGGTCTAGCCTTAGAGGGTACACAAACTTAGGGTTTCATACTTGTACCCACCTTCCTGCTAGTTCATCCATTCCTCGTTCAGTTATTCTGACAGGTTGACGGGCTTGATCTTGATCGTCGTAACTGCAACTGGCGCTGCCGCCGCTCGCTGCCTATCTTCTTCTTCGAAGTCGCGTGTGAGCTCGTCCAGAGGATTGCCCATCACTTGACTGTTGCCCTCGCCTTCGTCCACAGGCGACGTCTGACGCGCTTCACCTCGCGTCCGGCGTAGCTCGGCGTTTTCCTCCTTCAGTGTTGTCACTTCCGCTTGCAGCGATTCCATGCCCCTCGCCATTTCTGCCACTTGCGCCATCAGTCGGTTAACAGCCTCCTGATCCATGTTTCTAGCACTACGTCTGGTGGGCAGTTGGGTACCCGTGGCCGCCCGGCAAGTGAAAACACGAACTATCGGAGTCGGGCAGGGTTGAGTTAACAACCTCTGCAGCCAACCGTCGTGTAGTCACTAAACCAACCACACCCTATGCCACCAAACTACCCTTGAAAAGCGGGGTGAACTAGGAAAGTAGCTCTGATACCAGGTGTTATGAGTTGTAAAAGAGAGTACGCAGGTAAACGAATAACGAGACTGTGACTGAATGAATCTGAGAATACAATGAATGCGAGAACTAATGTAGGCTAGCCTAGCTAGGAGGAAACCTTAGACGAGCGAGGTTGGGTGCAGGTTTGGCGATGGGAATGCCGAAGGCGACGCGAGGAGCTTCGGCAGCGTGGAAATCGCCCGATCGTGCGAACTCCGAAAATCGGGTTGTACGCGCAGCAGTCAACCCCGATAAGGAATTCGAGAAAATTCCTTACAGTGGGGGTATAGCGTTGCAGTGCGTATCCACTAAAAACAGCAGTAATCAGTAGTACAGTACGTTGCATCGTGCTTTCTGCACTCCATATTACGGAACCAAACCCAAATTAAAAAAGAACACTATGAACATCTAATAAGCAGGTCAGACGTCCAAAAAGGGACGGCGCCTCTCAGCACAACCAGGTTCGTCTCCCATCACCTGCTGCTCTCACTGGAGTTGTGAAGTGGTTGCCACAATACATTCAGCACAGTGAAGTTGTGAAGAAAAACATCTTAGATAATGAAATAGTTGACGCCATGCACAGTGAACCACTTCCCAGTGTACAGATTCGGAGTGAGCATCGTCGCCCATGTGGTCGCTGGACTCCCAGGGACTCCGAACGTGATCTGCGCCGCGTTTTTCGGAGTCATCTTCTTCAGGGGTTGCACCCCATTCGTCGCGAAGTTAATCATAGGCTTCTTCCTCAAGACTGTGTCGTTATAGCGGCCAATGAGGGTCATTTGTTGGAGCATCGCAAACACCTTGTCCAAATCCCCGGGTTTCGCGACATCGATCTTCTTCAACAGCACCTTCACAGCATCGTCGTTCCCGGCAAGAAGGGTCCCGTTGTAAAGCTTCGTGATATCATACTTTTTCGGAGCTTTCGGAACTGGGGGTGGAAGGGGTTGGGTTCGGGGTGGGAAGAGGAGGGGAGAGGAGGGGGAGGGAGGGGACGGAGGGGGAGCAGAAGGGAGGTTAGATTAAACAGCAGTGGGGGACGGAATTGTTTGTCGTTGAACCATAGAATACGAAAATGTGTGAACTCTCGATCGGCGCGCGTCGTCCTGATGGACGAATCGCTACCGATCATGTTGTCAGAGCGCAAAGCTGCACATTGTACCCTGTGTTTCCTCCAACTGGTCGAGCCCCGTCCCCCCAACCGTTCGTAGTAGAGTAGCCATTGAAACAATAGAGTACCTCGGCCTTCATTCACCTGACAATGACTGATTCAGCTACATGCGAAAACAAAAGGGTTCGAGTACCGAGAAAGGCAGACGGATTGAACCAAGGCAGACACGCTCACCATGTACACATTGGCTTCCGTTGCACGTTAAGCATCAATTGGATAACCAGATACTGCTCTTGTTGTACTTACTTCCGACTTGGATTAGCGTAGCGACCCTCTTGTAGCCGTTCACTTTCTTTACAACGGACGTGGCCACCTTAATCTCCGCGAGCATCTGGTCCCGCGTCGGTCGTCCAGTAGGAGTCGCTTGAAGGGTATGCCGCACCGCGTCAACGTGAGGCGCGGCAAGCAGCACCGAGGCAAGCAACAGCCCGCACACAACTAGCTGAACGGAGAGCAACCCATCAGCGCCAGACAATCGCGCCATATTGTTGCGATCGAACGAATGTACTGGGAGGGTGGAAGAGAGTCCCTTATCAGAATTCCGAGCAAAATCAAACTCGTCGCCCCAACGCGAAGGCCCTAGCTCGTGAACTACCTGAATCTGACTGTCACACCTCAAAGTTCAGCTATCCGAGACCTGGAGTTTGGGCTCTGAGGTGGTACTGCAGCAATGAGCAGCGATTTATCATTTGTGAAGTGATCACTGTTGGGGCATACAGTGGCAAACGAGAGAGTCGGTGGTTGGCAATTGGGGGGGGGTGGGGTGGTGTGTTGTGGTTCGTGGATGAACCACCCAAGCCAAGTCATGTCCTGTCAGGTTTGGGCGGGTTGAAAAGTGCCATGCCACCAGTGCCCTTCCCATCGCGTGTCTTCAAACAATCCACGTTGCGATGTCGGTGGCGGGTTCACATCGTCACCATTCGTTACAGGCTAATTGAAACGGTCTCGTTAGCAGAATGGAAACGTGGCAACCGTGCTTGCAGCCGAAGCTCAACCGACTACAGTAATTCAAGGTCAGCGACGGCGCAGCGCGATCTGGTGCAGCAGCCGCACTTCTCATAGGCAGCAGCACAAGTGGACAATCCAGGTTCCCTCAAGGGAGATCAATAACCGTGAAGCAGGACCCTTTTTTTTAGGTAATTTCTTGATTTATCTGCAGATACGAGTCCTATACGAGCCTGCCCAGTAAGGGCTAGGAACATACTGTAATATCCAGGAAAAGAGGTCTGTACATCCGCTGTGAGTGTTTTTGAACGAACATCTGGGCGTAAACTCGTGCTTAGACCTGACTTGCGGAGAGGTGGGAAAGAAGGGGTCCAGGTGTGCTGGTGTGGTCCGCATAAGGTCTCACTAGTGTGAAAAGGTTGTGTGGCAGGTTCAGACTTAGCGTGTTACAGGCCTGTAATGCAAACTTGGTTACCCGTCCCTGGCTCGAGAACATGAAAAAAGAAATAGAACTGTGTTTCTACCCTGAAATCGAAGAACGGCTCGAAAAACGATAGAGTTGTCTGCTGTGGGGAAAGCACCGACAATGTACAAATATTTCTTCTTACGGTAATCTTGGTATTCAGGGGGATAGCCTTCTAACCGAACTCATGGATCTCCACGCTAAACGAAGTCTCGGTAGTTCTACAGAACTTGTGGATCACCAGGCGGTATTAACAAAACGAAGTACCTTATCGAACAAAAATGAAAACGGTATTCGGTGTGTCAAGTTCAGGTCTGGGGCGCGCGATCTCATAGCAGAACCTCTAGGCTCGGCAGGCCATTCATTTGTCCAGCAGAAGCTTCATTACCCCGAACCACGTCCCAACGTGGCTGCCGCTCGACAGAAAAGCGGCCCCAGCAGCTGCGCTGCGACCGAACTTCGTTTGACGGTTCCTGGGATTGTAATGAAACTTCTGCTTCTCGTTTGAAGCTGTTTGCATCCATTATCAGGCGCGACCTGATCCAATATTGCACTATCGGAGCCCTGACCAATGTGGAAGAGGCCTAATACACATCTCCCTATACAACGTAGTCATACACCTCCATTTAGGTTTATCATATTTGGCCATACTTTCTACAACCAACAGAACCTAACTTTCATTCACACACACACGCGCGCACACATGCACGCACGCACTAGACACACACGCGCACACACACACACACACACACACACACACACACTCACACACACACTCACACACACACTCACACACACAGACAGACACATAGACACACATACGCACACACACATACACACACACACGTGTGCGCGCGCGCGCTCTTGTTCGAATAGTAAGATTAGGAGAAACTGGGTTTAGGAAGAGAGAGGATGTTTGGCCAAGCAAGAAGGGGTTTGACTATGGAGAGAGTTACAAGAAATAGGGCAAGGAAAGGTGGCTAAAGGGGGGTATACCACCAACAATGAAATAGATACTACACTAAGGGCGTATTCCTACGGCCTCCTATCAAGAAACCTCCTATCAAGAATGCACATTTTGCCTGGTGAAAGTAGCGAGAGATTTTGGGTTTAGGGAATTTTTCAGTGTGAGCTTGATAAGAGGTTTTCTTGATAGGAGGATAGGAATACGCCCTAACTAAGCTAATATGCAGTTATACATAGAAATACAATTTCTGACATCCCCCCTTAACTGCATACAAGCATAGCTAGTGAGGGGCGCTCTACCCTAAGTGCAGACTTCACCGGGCCGCAGCTGGGCCCACCGATACAACACACGATGGAGTTTCCCGCCTGCGGTTTAACCCCCGCAGTGGATGCCCGGTGTGCGCGACAAGGGGTGACCACGCCCATGAACGACGGAGAAAAAGAACGAACGACGAGACGACAAGAAAACATTACGAAAGTAGAAGACAGAAAGGAAGACACCCTTTTTCTCTCTCTCTTTCGTCCCCCTTAACCTCTCTCATCCCCCCTTAATGTTTCTCCTCCCCCCCCCCCCCCCCCACAGCAACAAGTTGCTGCAGGGAGGAGGAAGAGGGAAGGGACGACCTGCTGGTGGTGCACACCCGCCACCCCCACGCCCCCTCTCTCCCCCCCCCCCCCAAACGACAGAAGCCGCGGAAGGGAGGGCGGGGGTGGGGGGGGGCGGCGGGAGTAGCTGGCGGCGTTGGCGCTGGCAATCCGCGCTGGCGCTGGCGCTGGCGACAGGAACGGCGCGCGCAGGGCGACGGGCAGGGTGCGCGCGGGGCTGCCGACGGGGCGTCCGCGGGGCGACGGACAGAGCGCCGCGGGGCTGCCGACGGGGCGCGCGCGGGGTGACGGACAGGCCGCGCGCAGGGCAGCCGACGGGGCACATTCGAGGGGGACGGGCAGGGCGCGCGCGACGGGCGAACGGAAAAGAAAAAAGAGCGCATTTCGCGCTTTAGAACGGGCGGGCCCATGATCTTTGAAGAAAAGTTAGGTCCTTAGACCGTTTTACTGCTCTGTACCATGTTAGAATAGTAAGATTAGGAGAAACTGGGTTTAGGAAGAGAGAGGATGTTTGGCCAAGCAAGAAGGGGTTTGACTATGGAGAGAGTTACAAGAAATAGGGCAAGGGAAGGTGGCCAAGGGGGGTATACCACCAACAATGAAATAGATACTACACTAACTAAGCTAATATGCAGTTATACATAGAAATATAATTTCTGACAGCTCTAGCTATTTTCTCATTGCATCTATCCAACTGTTGAACCAGGTAGGCCAAGTCAATCTGTAGTGCAAAACGAAGGTCATTGGCATGCAAATATTTTTTGCCTACTACTTAAATACCGTTTTTTCTTCTCATACAAGCTACCTAGATCACATTAGACAAGACAGTCTGCTTCAGGATCCACTTGGTGAGCTAAAACTCTGTTTGGTGAGCTAAGACTCTGTTGCACCAGCTGTCAAGAATAATGGAGTAACCTAGGCTTAGGTGAAACCCTAGCCTAGGTGATAGCCGAGAGTAGCGGGAGGGGGAATTGGGCAAAGAGCGTTGAGGAAGGTACAAATAGGAAACACAGCATGCAAAGGTGTACCACCAACAGTTCATAGTAGTAACTACAGTAACTAGCGTAAGCAGGATATAACATAACTTGACACACCCCCTTAGCCTGCTTGCGGTAGGAACTGGTGCAGTCGGCACCCCCTGAAAGAGTAAACAAAGCGCAGTGGAAGAAGGCAGAGAGGTGAGGAAGGACGTGGAGGCGAGAGGAGAGGAGAGAAGAGGAGAGGAGGTGGGGGGCCAGTGCCGGCGGACCCGCTTACGAACCTCCATTTACGAAGGGGAGGTGAGAGAGGAAAGGGAGAGGAGGTGGGCTAGGTGGGCATGAGCGCGCAAGCTCATAGCGATCCCCCCCCGTTAATAACCCCCAAGTCCCGATGAGGAGAGGAGGTGGGCTAGGTGGGCATGAGCGCGCAAGCTCATAGCGATCCCCCCCCGTTAATAACCTCCAAGTCCTCACCCCCCTTGTCACTCAACCCCTTGAACCTCACACCCTCCGCACCTTTCAACTTTCGCCACCCCCTCACCCTTCTCCACTTCTCCCCCCCCCCCCCCTTTTCTCCACAGCGACATCTCTGCAGGAAGAGAGAGGGGAGGGACGGGCTGCAGGCAGCTCACACCCGCCACCCCCACATCTCCCCCCCCCCCCCCCCCCCCCCCCCACGACGGAAGCCGCGGAAGGGAGGGCGGGGGGGGGGGGGGGGGGGGGGGGGGGGGCGGGGCGGCGGTAGCTGCTGCTGGCGCTGACTGTGGCGCAGGCGGCTGGCCACGGCGCTGGCGTCCGCGCTGGCGGGCCGCGCTGGCGACGAAACGGGGGGCCGCGGGCGACGGGAACGGGGGGCCGCGGGCGACGGGAACGGGGGGCCGCGGGCGACGGGAACGGGGGGCCGCGGGCGATGGGAACGGGGGGGCGCGGGGCGACGAAACGGGGGGCCGCGGGCGACGGGAACGGGGGGCCGCGGGGCGACGAAACGGGGGGCCGCGGGGCGACGGAACGGAGGCAGCGGGACGACGGACGCGACGGCCGAAGAGCGCGACGGGACGAAGAAAAAAGTAGCGCATTTCGCGCTGCAGGAAAGGCGGGCCCATGTTACTTAAAAAAAAAAGAGGAGGTTCTAGGAAAGAACCAGCTCTGACACCATGTCAAGAATAATGGAGTAACCTAGGCTTAGGTGAAACCCTAGCCTAGGTGATAGCCGAGAGTAGCGGGAGGGGGAATTGGGCAAAGAGGGTAGTTCACTATTGAGGAAGGTACAAATAGGAAACACAGCATGCAAAGGTGTACCACCAACAGTTCATAGTAGTAACTACAGTAACTAGCGTAAGCAGGATATAACATAACTTGACACCAGCAGAGTCTGAGCCGTATTCTCCCGGACAAAACACCCCCCCATGATAGAGCACCCCCGGGTAGCTTGTGCGGGGTGGGTGCTATGGGCGACCTCGATTTCACTAAACCCCCCTTTTTGGATGAATTTTTATAACACCCCCCGTTTCTTACCGATTCTATATTATAACTGTTAACGAATAGGTGCAAGTAAGGGAGTATATCGAGAAAATCCATCGATAGATGAAATTTCCCGGTTCTTTCACATCAAATCTGCCGAGAATCCCCCCCGCCCACTATTTCGCTGTCGCCACGTGCTGGCGAATCTTCCACTGCGGGCGGCCAGAGAGGTGCCAAATGACATTTTCGAGGGAATGATGACGTTCGCGTCAAAACTGACATTCGCGCCTCAACATGTGATGTTAAAAAGCCCATGGAAATACTCAGCTTCTCTAATATAAAAAGCTCTAACACTAAAATATACCATATATATGCACCCGGGTATTATGTAGCTTTTTCGTATGAGAAGACACCCCCCCCTTTTTTTCCTGTATTTTTAGATCTACCCTAGGGTGTTATGTCCGGGAGAATACGGTAACATCATCATGGCAGTGCAATTGTTGACCCCCCCCTTCTAGTTGGGTCCAACTTGAATATTCTATTTTGCATAAGATAGAAATATATCGAGCTTCACAGCAACCGAGCAGGGCTGGTGTACCCAAACGTTTGTGCAGGAATCACGACCAATCAAGAGCATCGCCCCAATGTGCAGAGACACACACGTGCCCATATGGTTTTCGCACACTAGTGCGACTGTGTTCCGACGCTCCCAATCAACAAACTGACCACCCACCCAACGTTTCCTAGAGCAACACAACACACACTGGATACGCCCTACCAAAATACTACGCAAACTCGACACGCCAAGCACACTCACTCTCATATTGCCAACACCCAGCCGCATTCCTCTCGCACGCAGCCGTCCACAGCTAAAGACGTGACGGTAATTAGTCCAGCAAAAGTAGACGTCCACTGCATTCGACCGAGACTGGGGTCTGACGCGGAGGGCCGGCCGCTGGATCGCCTATACCCGCTATTCCCCCACTCTTCAGCTATTGTACGCATTGCATGGATACTATATGGTGACAGTCACACATACGCATAGGGTTTAGGTCGACGAAATAGGCGAGCGAAATGCTGCCCGTCTCTGTCTGACGGGCAGCATTCGCGCGCACGGCGGAACGCGCCTGTCCGACGGGCAGCAAACGACGAAATGCCCAGCGGGCACGCGAAATGCCGTCTCTGTCCGACGGTTATCATTCCGCGCGCATGGCGGAATGCGCCTGTCTGACGGGCAGCCTCCGCGAAACGCGCAGCGGCCGCGCGGAATGCTGCCTGTCAGACAGTGATGTGCTGCATGCGCGCGCAGGGCAGAGTGCGTCTGTCTGACGGGCAGCCCCCGCGCGAAATGCTCAGCGGGCGCGAAAAGTGCTGCCCGCTGGGACTGTCGGGAGGCATTCACACGAAATGCACTACCGCGTCAGTCTGACGGGTAGCAGTCGCGCGAATTGCTCATGTGCGTCAGCAATACGCGCTGCAGGCGCCTGAATAACGGTAAGGCTGACGTGCAGCAAGCGCATGACTAGCTGCGCCTCACTCAGCTGGCCGGTATCCCCACCATTGACGTCAACATCCCCTGGTCCCACAACCGCATGCTCCCCTTTCACCATTCCCTGTTCCCCCATACCCCGTTCCCCCAATCCTGCCCCCTCATTCCCTGTTCCCCCATTCCATGTCCCCCAATTCCCTGTCCCCCCATTCCCTGTTCCCCCGTTCCCTGTCCCCCGCTCCCTGCTACCCCATTCCCTGTTTCCCAAACGAGCAGCTCGCCCAATCCCTGTCCCCCAAACCCCTGCCCCCCATTCCATGTTCCCCCATTCTCTGCTCCCCCATTTCCCTGTTCCCCCACTCCCCCCTCCCCCATTCCATGTTCCCCCCATTCCCTGTCCCCCATTCCCTGCTCCCCCATTCGCTGTCCCCCCATTCCCTGTCCCCTCATTCCTGGCTCCCCCATTCCCTCTTCTCCCACTCCTTCTCCCTCACTCCCTTATCCCCCATGCCCTGCTCCCCCTTCCCTGCTCCCCCATTCCCTGATCCCCACCATCCCTGCTCCCCCATTCCCTGTTCCCCATTCCATGTTCCCCCGTTCCCCCCTCCCCCATTCCATGTTCCCATTCCCTGTTCCCTTATTCCCTGCTCCCCTATTCGCAGTCCCCCCATTACTTGCTCCCCATTCCCTGTTCCCCCATACCCTGCTCCCCCATTCCCTGCTTCCCCATTCCCAGTCCCCCGATTCCCCGTCCCCCCATTCACTGCTTCCCCATTCCCTGCCCCCTCATTCCTTGTACCCCCATTCCCTGTCCCCCATTTCCCGCTCCCGCATTCCCTGTCCCCTCATTCCCTGCTCCCTTTCAGCCTTTCTCCCCCATTCTTGGTCCCCCATTCCCCGCTCCCCGGTTCCCTGTCCCCCGATCCCTAGTCCCCCCATTCCTGCTCCCCCATTCCCCGCTCCCCCATTCCCTGTCCCCCAATTGCCTGCCCCCCCATTCCCTCCACCCCCATTACCACCTCCCCCATTCCGTGTTCCCTGTTCCCTGTTCCCCGGCTCCCCCATTCCCTGTTCCCCTATTCCCTGTTCCCCTATTCCCTGTTCCCCTATTCCCTGTTCCCCTATTCCTGTTCCCCTATTCCCTGTTCCCCTATTCCCTGTTCCCCTATTCCCTGTTCCCCTATTCCCTGTTCCCCTATTCCCTGTTCCCCTATTCCCTGTTCCCCTATTCCCTGTTCCCCTATTCCCTGTTCCCCTATTCCCTGTTCCCCTATTCCCTGTTCCCCTATTCCCTGTTCCCCTATTCCCTGTTCCCCTATTCCCTGTTCCCCTATTCCCTGTTCCCCTATTCCCTGTTCCCCTATTCCCTGTTCCCCTATTCCCTGTTCCCCTATTCCCTGTTCCCCTATTCCCTGTTCCCCTATTCCCTGTTCCCCTATTCCTGTTCCCTATTCCCTGTTCCCCTATTCCCTGTTCCCCTATTCCCTGTTCCCCTATTCCCTGTTCCCCTATTCCCTGTTCCCCTATTCCCTATTCCCCTATTCCCTGTTCCCTATTCCCTGTTCCCCTATTCCCTGTTCCCCCTATTCCCTGTTCCCCTATTCCCTGTTCCCCCTATTCCCTGTTCCCCTATTCCCTGCTCCCCCACACCTGTTCCCCGGATTCTCCGTCCCCCCCATTCTCTGTCCCCCATTCCCTGTTCCCCCATTCCCAGTTCTCCCATTCCTGCTCCCCCTTTCCCTGATCCCCCATTCCCTGCTCCCCCATTCCCTGCAAAACCCATTCGCAGTCCCCCCATTCCCCGTCCCCCCATTCCTTGCTCCCCCATTCCCTGTTCCCCCATCCCCTGCTCCCCCATTCCCTGCTTCCCCATCCCCAGTCCCCCCATTCCCCATCCCCCCATTCCCCGTCCCCCCATACTCATTACCCTCATTCCCTGTACCCCCACCTCCTGTTCCCTCATTCCCTGTACCCCCACCTCCTGTTCCCTCATTCCCTGTACCCCCACCTCCTGTTCCCTCATTCCCTGTACCCCCACCTCCTGTTCCCTCATTCCCTGTACCCCCACCTCCTGTTCCCTCATTCCCTGTACCCCCACCTCCTGTTCCCTCATTCCCTGTACCCCCACCTCCTGTTCCCTCATTCCCTGTTCCCCCACCTCCTGTTCCCTCATTCCCTGTACCCCACCTCCTGTTCCCTCATTCCCTGTTCCCCCACCTCCTGTTCCCTCATTCCCTGTTCCCCCACCTCCTGTTCCCTCATTCCCTGTACCCCCACCTCCTGTTCCCTCATTCCCTGTTCCCCCACCTCCTGTTCCCTCATTCCCTGTTCCCCCACCTCCTGTTCCCTCATTCCCTGTACCCCCACCTCCTGTTCCCTCATTCCCTGTACCCCCACCTCCTGTTCCCTCATTCCCTGTTCCCCCACCTCCTGTTCCCTCATTCCCTGTACCCCCACCTCCTGTTCCCTCATTCCCTGTTCCCCCACCTCCTGTTCCCTCATTCCCTGTTCCCCCACCTCCTGTTCCCTCATTCCCTGTACCCCCACCTCCTGTTCCCTCATTCCCTGTACCCCACCTCCTGTTCCCTCATTCCCTGTACCCCACCTCCTGTTCCCTCATTCCCTGTACCCCCACCTCCTGTTCCCTCATTCCCTGTACCCCCACCTCCTGTTCCCTCATTCCCTGTACCCCCACCTCCTGTTCCCTCATTCCCTGTACCCCCACCTCCTGTTCCCTCATTCCCTGTTCCCCCACCTCCTGTTCCCTCATTCCCTGTACCCCCACCTCCTGTTCCCTCATTCCCTGTTCCCCCACCTCCTGTTCCCTCATTCCCTGTACCCCCACCTCCTGTTCCCTCATTCCCTGTACCCCCACCTCCTGTTCCCTCATTCCCTGTACCCCCACCTCCTGTTCCCTCATTCCCTGTACCCCCACCTCCTGTTCCCTCATTCCCTGTACCCCCACCTCCTGTTCCCTCATTCCCTGTACCCCCACCTCCTGTTCCCTCATTCCTGTACCCCCACCTCCTGTTCCCTCATTCCCTGTACCCCCACCTCCTGTTCCCTCATTCCCTGTACCCCCACCTCCTGTTCCCTCATTCCCTGTACCCCCACCTCCTGTTCCCTCATTCCTGCACCCCCACCTCCTGTTCCCTCATTCCTTGTACCCCCACCTCCTGTTCCCTCATTCCCTGTACCCCCACCTCCTGTTCCCTCATTCCCTGTTCCCCCACCTCCTGTTCCCTCATTCCCTGTTCCCCCACCTCCTGTTCCCTCATTCCCTGTACCCCCACCTCCTGTTCCCTCATTCCCTGTACCCCCACCTCCTGTTCCCTCATTCCCTGTACCCCCACCTCCTGTTCCCTCATTCCCTGTACCCCCACCTCGTGTTCCCTCATTCCCTGTTCCCCCACCTCCTGTTCCCTCATTCCCTGTTCCCCCACCTCCTGTTCCCTCATTCCCTGTACCCCCACCTCCTGTTCCCTCATTCCCTGTACCCCCACCTCCTGTTCCCTCATTCCCTGTACCCCCACCTCCTGTTCCCTCATTCCCTGTACCCCCACCTCCTGTTCCCTCATTCCCTGTACCCCCACCTCCTGTTCCCTCATTCCCTGTACCCCCACCTCCTGTTCCCTCATTCCCTATACCCCCACCTCCTGTTCCCTCATTCCCTGTACCCCCACCTCCTGTTCCCTCATTCCCTGTTCCCCCACCTCCTGTTCCCTCATTCCCTGTACCCCCACCTCCTGTTCCCTCATTCCCTGTTCCCCCACCTCCTGTTCCCTCATTCCCTGTTCCCCCACCTCCTGTTCCCTCATTCCCTGTACCCCCACCTCCTGTTCCCTCATTCCCTGTACCCCCACCTCCTGTTCCCTCATTCCCTGTACCCCCACCTCCTGTTCCCTCATTCCCTGTACCCCCACCTCCTGTTCCCTCATTCCCTGTACCCCCACCTCCTGTTCCCTCATTCCCTGTACCCCCACCTCCTGTTCCCTCATTCCCTGTACCCCCACCTCCTGTTCCCTCATTCCCTGTTCCCCCACCTCCTGTTCCCTCATTCCCTGTACCCCCACCTCCTGTTCCCTCATTCCCTGTTCCCCCACCTCCTGTTCCCTCATTCCCTGTACCCCCACCTCCTGTTCCCTCATTCCCTGTACCCCCACCTCTTGTTCCCTCATTCCCTGTACCCCCACCTCCTGTTCCCTCATTCCCTGTACCCCCACCTCCTGTTCCCTCATTCCCTGTACCCCCACCTCCTGTTCCCTCATTCCCTGTACCCCCACCTCCTGTTCCCTCATTCCCTGTACCCCCACCTCCTGTTCCCTCATTCCCTGTACCCCCACCTCCTGTTCCCTCATTCCCTGTACCCCCACCTCCTGTTCCCTCATTCCCTATACCCCCACCTCCTGTTCCCTCATTCCCTGTACCCCCACCTCCTGTTCCCTCATTCCCTGTACCCCCACCTCCTGTTCCCTCATTCCCTGTACCCCCACCTCCTGTTCCCTCATTCCCTGTACCCCCACCTCCTGTTCCCTCATTCCCTGTACCCCCACCTCCTGTTCCCTCATTCCCTGTACCCCCACCTCCTGTTCCCTCATTCCCTGTACCCCCACCTCCTGTTCCCTCATTCCCTGTACCCCCACCTCCTGTTCCCTCATTCCCTGTACCCCCACCTCCTGTTCCCCATTCCCTGTACCCCCACCTCCTGTTCCCTCATTCCCTGTACCCCCACCTCCTGTTCCCTCATTCCCTGTTCCCCCACCTCCTGTTCCCTCATTCCCTGTTCCCCCACCTCCTGTTCCCTCATTCCCTGTACCCCCACCTCCTGTTCCCTCATTCCCTGTACCCCCACCTCCTGTTCCCTCATTCCCTGTACCCCCACCTCCTGTTCCCTCATTCCCTGTTCCCCACCTCCTGTTCCCTCATTCCCTGTTCCCCCACCTCCTGTTCCCTCATTCCCTGTACCCCCACCTCCTGTTCCCTCATTCCCTGTACCCCCACCTCCTGTTCCCTCATTCCCTGTACCCCCACCTCCTGTTCCCTCATTCCCTGTACCCCCACCTCCTGTTCCCTCATTCCCTGTACCCCCACCTCCTGTTCCCTCATTCCCTGTACCCCCACCTCCTGTTCCCTCATTCCCTGTACCCCCACCTCCTGTTCCCTCATTCCCTGTACCCCCACCTCCTGTTCCCTCATTCCCTGTACCCCCACCTCCTGTTCCCTCATTCCCTGTACCCCCACCTCCTGTTCCCTCATTCCCTGTACCCCCACCTCCTGTTCCCTCATTCCCTGTTCCCCACCTCCTGTTCCCTCATTCCCTGTTCCCCCACCTCCTGTTCCCTCATTCCCTGTACCCCCACCTCCTGTTCCCACATTCCCTGTACCCCCACCTCCTGTTCCCTCATTCCCTGTACCCCCACCTCCTGGTCCCTCATTCCCTGTACCCCCACCTCCTGTTCCCTCATTCCCTGTACCCCCACCTCCTGTTCCCTCATTCCCTGTACCCCCACCTCCTGTTCCCTCATTCCCTATACCCCCACCTCCTGTTCCCTCATTCCCTGTACCCCCACCTCCTGTTCCCTCATTCCCTGTTCCCCCACCTCCTGTTCCCTCATTCCCTGTTCCCCACCTCCTGTTCCCTCATTCCCTGTACCCCCACCTCCTGTTCCCTCATTCCCTGTACCCCCACCTCCTGTTCCCTCATTCCCTGTACCCCCACCTCCTGTTCCCTCATTCCCTGTACCCCCACCTCCTGTTCCCTCATTCCCTGTACCCCCACCTCCTGTTCCCTCATTCCCTGTACCCCCACCTCCTGTTCCCTCATTCCCTGTACCCCCACCTCCTGTTCCCTCATTCCCTGTACCCCCACCTCCTGTCCCTCATTCCCTGTACCCCCACCTCCTGTTCCCTCATTCCCTGTACCCCCACCTCCTGTTCCCTCATTCCCTGTTCCCCCACCTCCTGTTCCCTCATTCCCTGTTCCCCCACCTCCTGTTCCCTCATTCCCTGTACCCCCACCTCCTGTTCCCTCATTCCCTGTACCCCCACCTCCTGTTCCCCCATTCCCTGTACCCCCACCTCCTGTTCCCTCATTCCCTGTACCCCCACCTCCTGTTCCCTCATTCCCTGTTCCCCCACCTCCTGTTCCCTCATTCCCTGTTCCCCCACCTCCTGTTCCCTCATTCCCTGTACCCCCACCTCCTGTTCCCTCATTCCTGTACCCCCACCTCCTGTTCCCTCATTCCCTGTACCCCCACCTCCTGTTCCCTCATTCCCTGTACCCCCACCTCCTGTTCCCTCATTCCCTGTACCCCCACCTCCTGTTCCCTCATTCCCTGTACCCCCACCTCCTGTTCCCTCATTCCCTGTACCCCACCTCCTGTTCCCTCATTCCCTGTACCCCCACCTCCTGTTCCCCCATTCCCTGTACCCCACCTCCTGTTCCCTCATTCCCTGTACCCCCACCTCCTGTTCCCTCATTCCCTGTTCCCCCACCTCCTGTTCCCCCATTCCCTGTACCCCCACCTCCTGTTCCCTCATTCCCTGTACCCCCACCTCCTGTTCCCTCATTCCCTGTACCCCCACCTCCTGTTCCCTCATTCCCTGTACCCCCACCTCCTGTTCCCTCATTCCCTGTTCCCCCACCTCCTGTTCCCTCATTCCCTGTTCCCCCACCTCCTGTTCCCTCATTCCCTGTACCCCCACCTCCTGTTCCCTCATTCCCTGTACCCCCACCTCCTGTTCCCTCATTCCCTGTACCCCCACCTCCTGTTCCCTCATTCCCTGTACCCCCACCTCCTGTTCCCTCATTCCCTGTACCCCCACCTCCTGTTCCCTCATTCCCTGTACCCCCACCTCCTGTTCCCTCATTCCCTGTTCCCCCACCTCCTGTTCCCTCATTCCCTGTTCCCCCATTTCGTGTTCCCCCATTCCCTGTACCCCCACCTCCTGTTCCCTCATTCCCTGTTCCCCCACCTCCTGTTCCCTCATTCCCTGTTCCCCCATTTCCTGTTCCCTCATTCCCTGTTCCCTGGATTCTCCGTCCCCGCATTCTCTGTCCCCCGAATCCCTGTCCCCAGATTCCCTGATCCCCCATTCGCTGCTCCCCCATTCCCTGGTCCCCACTTTTCTTGCTCCCCCATTCCATGTCCCCCGTTTCCATGTCCCCCCATGCCCTGAGTGGGAAATCCCTGCTCCCCCATTCCCATGTTGTACCCACATGCCACGTCCCCCAATTCCCCTCTCCCCCATTCCCCTCTCTCCCATTCCTTGCTTCGGTATTCCCTGCTCCCCCATTCCCTGTACCGCCTTTTACTGTCCCCCATTCCAACCTTTCCCATTCCCTGCTCCCCCATTCCGCCCTCCCCCGTTCCCTAATTCCCCATCCCCTGATCCCCCATTCCCTGATCCCTCACTCCCAGTACACGTCAGTTATGTCACCTTCTATCCAGCGTTCATGCATTCTTATGCTGCCCGACTCATTCGTCTGAAATCACTCTCACCTCCCACACCAACCCCCAGTTGCCTGTAGGAACCCCACTAAGATCGCTGTCACCTCCTCAACTGATAGCAGTGGGCCTATAAGCTACGTTCTAGGGCTAGATCTTCTATCCAGGTTAGGCCCGCAACTCAACCGCCAAGCATTGAGGTTTAGTCGATCTCACTGACTGCAGCCCTCTTGTGAGTAACACTGCCTCGTCCTTGCACTCAATGTTCAATCCAAGTACCTTCCAAGTTTCAATTACACGAGTCTTAGTCATTCTCCCACGGTATCTTTTGTGATTCACACACTACTGCCATGTTCCCCCAGGTCCTGCTCCCCCATCCCCTGTTCCTCCAACCCCCGCTCCCCCATTCCCTGATCCCCACCATCCCTGCTCCCCCATTCCCTGCTCCCCCATTCCCTGTCCCCCGATTCCCTGTCCCCACGACCCCCTGATCCCCCATTCCCTGCTCCCCCATTCCCTTCTCCCCCATTCCCTGGTCCCCTCATTCCCATAACCCCCATTTCCTGCTCCCCATTTCCCTGTTCCCCCATTCCCGCTCCCCAGTTCCCTGTCCCCCGTTTCCCTGTCCTCCCATTTCCTGAGTGGGAAATCCCTGCTCCCCCATTCCTTGCTCCCCCATTCCCTGTCCCCCAATTCCCCCCTCCCCCATTCCCTAAACCCCCATTCCCCGATGGGGAAATCCCTGCCCCCCATTCCATGCTCCCCCATTCCCCGCTCAACTGATCCTCGTCAATGGGTATGCAGGGGAGAAGAAAGAAAGAGAGGGGGGGAAACAACGGGTAAGCAGGGGGAGTAGAATGAGTGGCAGCGGGGTAAACAATGGCTAAGACGACCAAGGCACCACGTTTCTGTCCACCCCCTCCGCTTTCCTTGATGCTGATGGGGTAAATTGGTTATTGGCAATGGGAGGGATGGGATTGATGTTTCAGAGAGATGGCAAAGGGGGAACCAGCGGGTAGGGAAAGGGGGGAGCAGGGAGCTCGGGGACAGGGCATGGAGGAGCAGGGAAGCCTTGGGGATAGGGAATGGGGGAGCAGGGGATGGGGGATCAGGGAATGTGGGAGCAGGGAATGCTGGAACGGGGAATGGGGGGACGGGGAATAGGGGGACTGGGAATCGGGGGACAGGGAACGGGGGAGCGGGGAATGTGGGAACAGGGAATGGGGGAGCGGGGAATTGGGGAACAGGGAATGGGGGAATAGGGCATGGGGGGACAAGGAATTGTTGTGGTAAGGGCATCGGGGGACAGGAAACTTGGGAGCGGGGAATGGGGGAATAGGGAATGGGGGAGCGGGGAATGGGGGAACATGGGATAGGGGAGCGGGGAATGGGGGTGAGGGAATGGTGGAGCGGGGAATTCTGTCTTAGGGAATGCACATTGGGAATGGGGAGCAGGGACTGGGGAGCAGGGAATGGGGGAGCAGGGAATGAGGGAACGGGGAACGGGTGGACGGGGATTGGGGGAGCAACACATGGGGGAAAAGTGAATTGGGGAGCAGGGTATGGGGGAGAAGGGAATGGGGGAGCAGGGAATGGGGGAGCCGGGAATGGGGGAGCAGGGAATGGGGGAGCAGGGAATGATCGAACGGGGAAGGGGGGAACCGGGAATGGGCCGCGTGTGCTGCCCGTCAGACAGTGGCGGGCATCATTCCGTGCGCCTGCTGTCAGGCAGGGATGTCCCTCATTTCGGGCGGTTGGGTGCTCGTCACTGTCTGACAGCCGCATTGGGCAGGGCTCGCGTATGCTGGCCGTCGGACAGTGACGTCTGACAGCCGCTTTCTGCATAGCGCGCGAATGCCGCCTGTCAGACAGACACATTATGAATTTCGCGCCTATACCTCCGTCAGAAAATGACGGGCTGCAATTCGCGCATCTGCTGACCGTCTGACGTCTGACGGACAGCATGTCGCGTATGTGCTGCCCGTGAGACATGTCTAATGCGGTGAGGGCGCGTACCTTGAGGCGCCCGCTGCTGGGGGAGCGGGGAATGGGGGATCACGGAATGGGGCAGCAGGCCATGGGGGAAGGAGGAATGTTCGACATCGTCCACACCCAAATAACGCTACCTCGCCCGTCCACTAAGAACGTGACAGCCTGAAACACTTGGGGGCGTGCAGGCCGTCTGAACCCTAGTCATCACCATGGCGCAGTTCGCGGTTACCTGCCATCCGGGGGTTCGCTACCAGCTTAGTCGGCGGGTTCGATTTCGGTGCGCGAGGGTCGGAGGGAAGCGCGACGACTTGCGAGACTCCGAGGTGCGTGGGCAGGCGTGGCTGGCGATCAATTTTGACTGGTTTCTAAGCGCTTGTATTCAAGAGTTTAGCTTTCGCGCATAAAGCGTTACGGCCACGGCGATCGCACCGAGACACGCAGCGCGAGCTCGCCCACAACGGCGGCGATCGTCGCGATTGCGAAGCGCGAGAGGAGTAAGGATCGAAGGGGACGTGGGTGGCTGTTGGAATCTCACTTATAAGTGAGACAAGTGAGAAACGCGGATGTACGCCCTGCCGGGTTTCTCAATCGAGGTGAAATGCACTCAAGGTCGAACTACAGAGTGTCCTACGAAATGTCTAAAGTGTGTCTAAAATAGGCAGCATCTAGCAAGGCTCGGACCTCGGGCTACGTTCCCGCTTGAGCCGGCCACGGGGCTTCTTTGTTCTCACAGTTTACGGTGGGAACTAGCGAGCACGGAAATGGTCGTGTAACCCATCTCCAGCTTGAAATTCGAGTGGGCCCAACTTGAGTGTCCGCGCAGTCCATTGACGCTCGTGCCCTGGATTGTGACCCTGTTCACACGTAGATTTGTGTCCAGTGTTCCGTGAGTGAAGGCATAGCCGGTTTGCGAGCGACGTTTGTCAGTTGCCGCAACCAATTGCAAACCTCTGTTTTCACTTCCTCAATCGCTGGCCAATCATGTTGCTAAACAAACTTGTTTTCTCCCGTCAGTTATGTCAGACCTAACAGTAAGTTTCCCCCCATTCCCGTGATTGACCCATGCGGACATTTCAAGTTGGGCCGGGGGTCACAATTTTGCAGTCTCGTTTTAAAATATACCATATATATGCACCCGGGTATTATGTAGCTTTTTCCTATGAGAAGACACCCCCCTTTTTTTTCCTGTATTTTTAGATCTACCCTAGGGTGTTATGTCCGGGAGAATACGGTAACATCATCATGGCAGTGCAATTGTTGACACAAAGTGGCTTGACACAGAGCAGAAATTATCCTTGCTGATTTCCATCACCATTCAGACAATAATGCAGTAATCTATCCCATGAACAGTAAAGTAGGGCCCACTATAGAGCTTCGCCGTCACTATGTGCGTCCATTTGCCCGCGGGCGAGCCCGGAGCGCCGAAGGCAACGGGCACGGCATTCGCTGCAGACATCTTCTGAATCTTTTTGCCATACCACGTGTCAAACTGCACAGGCCCGAGCTTCTTGAAGGTCACCACGTTCCACCGCCCTCGGATGGTCATGAACTGGAGCGCCTGGAAGAGCTTGTCGAGCTGCGTTATAGGCACCTTCGATAGTAGCACTTTTAGCGCATCGTTGTTGCCGAGGAGAATGGTGCTATTGTATAATTGAGTCAGGTCGTATTTCTTGGGTGCCTTGGGTACTGGAAGAAACGGGCAGGGAGACAGGGAAGAGAGGGAAAGAACAGGCAGACACAAAGGTCAGTTTTAATGATAGTTGCACCATGTCACCTTACAAAAAATGCTGTAATCCAATGCTGTAAATCTTATAACCCGAGGCAGATATGAGTTGAAGGCCATGGATAATCACCACTCTGCGGCCAGGCGTTATGCTAGGCATGCGTTACGCTGGCATTCGTTATGCTGGCATGACGTCTGCTGCTCTCATACGGTGTGCTGGCATGTGTTATGCTGGCATGCGGTCTGCTGGCATACGCACAGGGTTACAAGAGTCCATTTCATGTGCTACTAGTAGTCGGTGTGTTGACTCACAATCAGTCTTCCGAATTGTCAAGTGGAGGCCGAAAACCTCACCACCGTGGTGACCGACAATGAAGGAAAACCGGCGAGGTAAATTCCGTGAGCTCACAATCACTTATAGCTCCCCAGCACGTACCCTCCGGCCCTTGCTCGCGCGCGAAACTTTACAAAATCGTCAGCGTAGAACATCGAGTGACAAATCGACGAGAAACTTACATAACGTGCTCGCGACGGTGGCAATCCTGGTGTAGTTAGGGTTCTTCTTGATTATGGAAGCCGCGTATTTAACTTCTGCTATTATCTGGTCGCGGGTGACTGGCGGCGCCGCGGCCGTAGGTTTCGGCGCAAGGTTTACGCTCTCGATGCCAGGAAGACCTGCCACGAGGAGAAGCAACGCGGAAGAAACAGCTGCTAGTAGGCAGTCCATTCTACGGCTGCGAGGCCTCGAAGCGCAATACCCCAAGCGTGCCATTCTTTCTCGCGACGACGACGCGGCTCAGAGGGAGTTTCCGCCTTTCCGTTCCGGATGGGAGAGAAAAGGTAAGAAAGAAAACTTGATGAGGAAAGGCAGGAACGTTTGACAGAAATCTGGATGGAGCGATGCATATATTGTGTAGAGCAGAGTCCCCACCAGTCACCGAGGTGAGTGTGAGGTGAAGTCGCGGAGAAATGCGGCGGGGTGGAGGTTGGGGGGGAGTGGAGGTGGGGTGGGGTCCCATGAGATGGGAGTATCTGCGGTGGGATGAACAGCATTTCTGCTTGGGTTGTGTAATCGGTCGGTGGGCAGACAAAACTGAGCCGCCGAACGGGACCTTGTAAAAACTGCCCGTAAAAACTTGTAAGTTCACAGGACGGGGATCCTGATTGAATAGGATATTTATCAGGAGCAACACGAATGTTCTGGATAAGGTTACACGAAATATCTGTACCACCCTCTGTACTGTAAAAGGACGTGGTGCAGATCGTTCAGAGGCAATCCCAAATTTCCAGGACGCCACAGAGGTTTTCTAGGCCGCTTCAAAGAACGTGTGATTGGGTACAAGAATTTGCCAAGTGGGCCGCGGAATTGGCATTCAACCCAAACCGCATTCCCCAACCTGCTGGTGCTCGTGTCTTCCAAACCCAAGTGTTAGGGTGGCAGTAGTTCACCTGGTTGTTTGCGTTGAAAAAACAGGAGGAACTCTTGTTTTGCGGCTCGAATCGCGAGCGCGTTTAAAGGCTCGGTCGGTTCGGTACAGGTTCGGGGTAGGTCTGTGGTTGTCTTGTATATGTTTTTGGGCGGTGATGTGTCCCCAAACCCGAGACGTGTACAGTAATAAGGGCGGGGGCAGCGCGTTCATTTTCGCCACTTTTCCAAAATTTGGACGCCCGTCGAATCTGGAAGATACTCTAGCATTTTTGTACCGCGCTTAGTTTGTGTCCCGGGTGGGACACGCGCGTCCAAAATTGCGCACAGGTCTTGCCACACTTTTGCCTAACCGCCCACCCATGAGGTAACCCTGTGCGACAGAGTTCTGGTTGTGTTTGTGAACCCATGAATTTGCGAGGGTCGTACGCGCTTGACGAAGTCGTGACGCGGTTTCGCTGACCTGCACACAAGCATTCTCGAATGATGCGCGGGTTGTTCGCGGCCGTCGTGGGTACGTGTTTTGTTCGGTTGACGGCACGGAAAACAGCCACCGTTCATCCACTGTATGTTCTGTCGTGTCCACATGTTACCCTAAATCAGGGTTACAAACCGCTGAATCTGGTAACTGTTTCGGGCTAAGCCAGGAAAATGAACGCGCTGCCCCCGCCCTAAGCCTAGTCGGAGTTGGGGACACACACCACGCTCGGAGGAGCTTACCTGGTCGACACGGCACGCATCTAGATGCGCGTGCTGGAGTAAATTTAGGACGTATTACAGATCCACAATAGATGAAAGTGTAGATAGGGTCGGATCGTGCTGTTCGGATGTGATCCGATCTGACGCAAATCAGAGATCATGTCCCGCGCCGTGCGATCTGACGAGACAATTTCAGCGAAAACTGACAGCAAAAACAGCGCCTTCCATGCAATTGACATGTTCCTTCCACATCAGATGTGGCTCTATCGCACGAATACATATAGCCCCATTTTGTCGCAAAGTCGAATTGGTTAAAGCCGGCGGCCCAAATTGCACAAGCCTTTTAAAGCTCCGGTATACATTTGACAGAAGGGGTTCAAGTTCCTTAGGAACTTGAAAAGTTGCCCCAGAACTGAGAGGCTCAGTTATAAACCCTAAACCCCCACTGACAAATGTATACTGCCGCTTTAAAGCGACGGTGCACATTTGCCACCCGAACCCCTAAACCCTGGCGACCAGTTACTGCGGAGGAAAATTCCCCGCACGAATTCCAGATTTTCGCCAGCCAACACCTTCGCGCTGGCAAGCCTGGTTCAGAACAAAAACTTCTGAACCTCCGCTTGTCAAATCTAGACCCTCGTTTTAAAGCGGCGGTATACATTTGGCAGGGCAAGTGCCAAAAGTTTATAAAAGGTACCTGGTGGTAACCGAATTACAGGGTCACTCGACTTCTCTCGAGAGGGTCCGTGTCTTTCCAACCCCCCAGAGCAGACTCTCACGTCAAAAGTTTATGGTATGCCAAAAGTATACTGAAGCGGCTGCCTCTTTCCCGCTAGCCCCACCCTATTAGCTCAGCGTCGACTAGCGTAACTACCATGCGTGCGCAAAAGCCAACGCAATCCGTAATTACCGAGGGTAGCGCATCTCTCTGAGCGGTCATTTAGCGACCATAACGACCGTCTATATTGCTTCGCTGCAATGACATTCGCCGGCCCAGCTGTGAAAGGCTAGAAATCGACTAGAGTTACCCTCGCGGCGACGCCTCTCGTGGAATCGCCGCCGTCGCAAACCCCAGCACGCGGCCACTTGAAAGCCGAGGAAATTAGCCACTCCGCACCGTCCATAGCTGATGGCGCCGGATCGGCCCCGCAGTTTATCTTGAACACGCGTGGCAACGAACGCCGCGAGATAGCTTCGCTCTTACGCTCACGGGAGGCGCCTCATAGCCCAGTCACTCAGATTCGGCTGACGCAGGTTGAGTAGGCGCGACAGTGTGCACTTTTTTCCAACCTCAACTTCCCCCCGATTTGCTGCCCTGGCCGCCGCGATTCCACTTCCCGCAGTTCGATTCCACTTCCCGCCGCTCCGTGAGCCCCTTTCCGCCGCCCAACTCCCTTTCCCGCCGCTCGATTCCAAGTTCCGCCGCCCCTTTGACCTTCCCGCTGCCCAAATTCCCTTTCCCGCCGCCCGACTCCCCTAACCCCGCCGCCCCATTCCCGTGTCTGCCGCCCGATTCCCCTTTCCCGCCCCCCAATGCCCTTTCCCTCCGCCCGATTCCCCTTTCCGCCGCCCCTTTGACCTTCCCGCCACCCATTCCCCTACCCGCCGCCCGAAGAACCCGTTCTTTTCCGCCCGTTTTCCCCTTCCGCCTCTCATTCAACCATTCCCCCCGCCTCCCATTCTCCCCTTCCCTCCCTCCCGCCTCCCATTCTCCCCCTTCCTACCTCCCTTCCCTCCCTTCTCCCCCTTCCCTCCTGTCCCTCCCGTCCCTCCCTTCCCTCCCTTCCCTCCCTTCTCTCCCTTCCCTCCTTCCCTCCCTTTCCTCCCTTTCCTCTCTTATCTCCCCCTCCCTTCTCACCCTTCCCTCCCTTCCCTCCCTTCCCTCCCTTCTCTCCCTTCCCTCCCTTCTCTCCCTTCCCTCCCTTCCCTCCCTTCTCTCCCTTCCCTCCCTTTTCTCCCTTTCCTCCCTTCTCCTCCTCTCCTCTCCCCCTCCCTTCTCTCCCTTCCCTCCCTTCTCTCCCTTCCCTCCCTTCTCTCCCTTCCCTCCCTTTCCTCCCTTCCCTCCTTTCCCTCCCTTCTCTCCCTTCCCTCCCTTTCCTCCGATCCCTCCCTTTCCTCCCTTCTCTCCCTTCCCTCCATTTCCTTCCTTCGCTCCCTCCCTCCCTTTTCCCTTTTCTCCGTTTCCTCCCTCCCTTCCCTCCCTTTTCCTTTCCTTTCCTCCCTTCCCTCCCTTCCCTCCCTTCCCTCCCTTCTCTCCCTTCCCTCCCTTTCCTCCCATCCCTCCCTTCGCTCCCTTCTCTCCTTTCCCTCCATTTCCTTCCTTCGCTCCCTTCCCTCCCTTCTCTCCCTTCCCTCCATTTCCTCCCATCCCTCCCTTCCCTCCCTTCTCTCCCTTCCCTCCATTTCCTTCCTTCGCTCCCTTCCCTCCATTTCTCCGTCTTCTTCTTCCCTCCCACCCTTTTCTTCTTCTTTCTCCGTTTCCTCCCTTCCTCCCTCCCTCCCCCTACCTTCGCTCCCTTTTCTCCCTTCCCTCTCATTCCTCCTTGCAATCTCCTGTCCCTCCCTTCTCTCCCGTCCCTCCCTTCCCTCCTTCCCTCCCTTCCCTCCCTTCCCTCCCTTCTCTCCCTTCCCTCCCTTCTCTCCGTTCCCTCCCTTCCCTCCCTTCCCTCCTTTCCCTCCAATCCCTCCCTTCTCTCCCGTCTCTCCCTTCTCGGAGTTCCCTCCCTTCCTTCCGTTCCTCCTCTCCCTGCTATCACGTCTCTCCTTTCCCTCCCTTCTCTCCCGTCCCTCGCTTCCCTCCCCCCCTACCTTCTCTCCCTATGCTCCTTTCCCTCTCATCCTTTTTTGCAAACTCCTGTCTCTCCCTTCCCTTCCTTCTCTTCTCGTTCCGCCTCTTATTCTCCCATCCCGCCTTCCCTTCTTCTCGTCCCGCCTCTTATTCTCCCATCCCGCCTTCCCCATTTCCCCTTCATGCCTCCCTTCACGCCTCCCATGACCTCTCCCTGCCTTCCCATCTCACCTTCACGCCTCCCATCACCTCTCCCTGCCTTCCCATCTCACCTTCACGCCTCCCATCACCTCCATTCTCATTCAGCCCCATCTCATGTCACCATGCTTGCATTTACCCTCCGTATCCTGCCTCTCCCTAAGCTCCCCTCCATCCGCCTTCCAACCCATTGCCACCCCTCCGTCCCATTTTGCCTCCTCCATCCCCCCCCACCTCACCCACCTACTCCCTCCTCATCTCCCCTCCCCATACCACCTCCTGCCCCTATCAGGCACCCCTTGCTCACCTCCCCTCCCCTACCAGGGGCATTCTTCTCCCTTCTCTCCCCTACCCCTTCTTTCATTCACCCTCCCCTACAAAGGGCGCTCTGCTCACCATCTGTCCCTCCAGGTCTCCCACACTCATATCTCCCATATTTCATCCCCCACACTCCCGTGTTTTTTCTTAGTTGAAACTGAGCTCTACATTCCTGCGTTTACTCCTGATACTGCCCACTTTTCCCTCCACCACATCCCACACTAGTTTCATGCTCATCTCATACAGGACTCACATTGCGTTCCCTTGCTCAATCTCTGTGCTTGTGTTGCAGGTGTGGTGCCTTCCTGAATGAACTTCCTACGCCACACATGGCACATAAGAACCAGCAACTTGGGCATGGATAGGGCAGCGATGGTAACAAAGCAGCTTGAAGCCTCTTGGTAGCAGCATGTACAGTGTTTTTTATCAACTGGTTATTGATCACGGTGTTCTGTAACATCATTACAGGTTGGAGGATAACTTTACCAAAATTTACAGCATGTTCCCTACCATAACAAACTATGTAATCAAAGCAGTACGGTTACAAGTAAAAGCACAGAGGCAATCCATGCACACTAAGCAATGTACGATGGGTCAAGTGTGCAGCCAGCTTAGGCGACGCAGGAAATGTGATGATGCTGGCAGGCGATGGGGAGGATAGGCGAGCGAGGATAGGTTCACGCAGCAGGTCGCCTTTCCTGGACACCACAAGCTTTTGGTCCCTGCCAGGCGGACCAGCCATTGAAGGAGGCAGAGAGGGTATGAGGCAGAGATGGGGTGAGGAAGAGATGGGGTGAGGCAGAGATGGGGTGAGGCAGAGATGGGGTGAGGCAGAGATGGGGTGAGGCAGAGAGGGTATGAGGCAGAGAGGGTATGAGGCAGAGAGGGTATGAGGCAGAGAGGGTATGAGGCAGAGAGGGTATGAGGCAGAGAGGGTATGAGGCAGAGAGGGTATGAGGCAGAGAGGGTATGAGGCAGAGAGGGTATGAGGCAGAGAGGGTATGAGGCAGAGAGGGTAACGCTGGAGTAGCAGATGGTGAAGCAGTGGGGGAAAGGTGTGGAAGCAGTGGCGGAAAGGTGTGGAAGCAGTGGGGAAAGGTGTGGAAGCAGTGGGGGAAAGGTGTGGAAGCAGTGGGGGAAATGTGTGGAAGCAGTGGGGGAAAGGTGTGGAAGCAGTGGGGAAAAGGTGTGGGAGCAGTGGGGGAAAGGTGTGGAAGCAGTGCGGGAAAGGTGTGGAAGCAGTGGGGGAAAGGTGTGGAAGCAGTGGGGGAAAGGAGGGGAAGCAGTAACACGGGACTACGACACTAGAAGCAAATAGTCGGTATGCTCACTGCCATGTCAGCATGCATGCCGGCGACCCCTGACGTGGCAGCAGCGGTGGTGGAAGGGCCGGTAGCGGCAGCGGCGAGGGTGAGCGAGTGACTGAGGAGGCCCACGGGGCCAGAACGGGCAGTAGGGTGCGGCACGAGGTGGGTTGCCCCGTCAGCAAGCTATGATTGGCCGTTGATGAGAGCCATTGTAAGGCCAACAGCCAGCGCTATGGTGTCAAACACGTACTTCAACTGCAGTAGTAGGCAGAATGGCACGGTGGATGGGGGGGGAGATGCAGGGGGGGAAAGGAGGAGATGCAGGAGGGGAAAGGAGGGGATGCAGGGGGGGAAAGGAGGGGATGCAGGGGGGGAAGGAGGAGATGCAGGAGGGGAAAGGAGGGGATGCAGGGGGGGAAAGGAGGGGATGCAGGGGGGGAAAGGAGGGATGCAGGGGGGGGAAAGGAGGGGATGCAGGCGGGGAAAGGAGGGGATGCAGGGGGGGGAAAGGAGGGGATGCAGGGGGGCGGAAGGAGGGGATGCAGGGGGGAAAGGAGGGGATGCAGGGGGGCGGAAGGAGGGGATGCAGGGGGGGAAAGGAGGGGATGCAGGGGGGGAAAGGAGGGGATGCAGGGTGGGAAAGGAGGGGATGCAGGGGGGGAAAGGAGGGGATGCAGGGGGGGAAAGGAGGGGATGCAGGGGGGGGAAAGGAGGGGATGCAGGGGGGGAAAGGAGGGGATGCAGGGGGGGGAAAGGAGGGGATGCAGGGGGGCGGAAGGAGGGGATGCAGGGGGGGAAAGGAGGGGATGCAGGGGGGCGGAAGGAGGGGATGCAGGAGGGGAAAGGAGGGGATGCAGGGGGGGAAAGGGGGGATGCAGGGGGGGGAAAGGAGGGATGCAGGGGGTGAAAGGAGGGGATGCAGGGGAAGGAAAGGAGGGGATGCAGGGGGGGAAAGGAGGGGATGCAGGGGGTGAAAGGAGGGGATGCAGGGGAAGGAAAGGAGGGGATGCAGGGGGGAATGGAGGGAGCATAGGCAGCATAGTGGGCAGAGGGAGCAGAGGCACCAGGGCAGGGTGGGAGCGCACCTTGATCTGCTACAGCTCGAAGACGAAGAAGATTATGTTCGGCTCCACCTCCGCCCACGTGAGTCGCACACCACGGGATGGGGAGAGCCATGGGGCAGGCAGGGGCGAGGGAGGGGTGAGGGAGGGTGGGACGGAGTGCGAGAGTGAGGAGAGGGAGGGGGAAAGAGGAGAGGAGAAAGTGTGACAAGGGTGGATGGTTGGGTAGTGGTGGAAAGTAGGGGCGGGTGCGCGGGGCGCAGAGCAGAGGGAACGACGATGGCTCCCAATCGATGTGCGAGCGAGCCCAGGCGGAAAAGGGAGTGCGTGCGGGGCTACTGAATGCGCGCGGGGGGAGGGAGTGCGTGCGGGGGGAGCGAATGCGCGCTGGGGAGAAGTTGCTTGCGGAGGGAGCGAGTGCGCACGGGAGGAGCGAGCGAGCGCGGGGGGATCGAGTGCGCGCGGAGGCAGCGAATGCGCGCTGGGGGAGCGAGTGCGTGCGGGGGGAGCGAGTGCGCGCGGGGAAAACGAGTGAGCGCGGAGGGAGCGAGTGCGCGAGGGGGGAGCGAGTGAGCGGGGGGGCAGCGAATGCGCGCTGAAGGCGCGAGCGCGCACGGAGGGAGCGAGTGCGCGCGGGGGGAGCGAGTGAAGGCGGGGGGATCGAGTGTGCGAGGTGCAGCGAATGCGCGCTGGGGGAGCGAGTGCGCGCGGGGGGGGCGAGAGCGCGCGGAGAGAGTGAGCGCGCGCGGGGGGAGGTGAGTTCGCGGGGAGCGGGCGGCGTACATATGCGGACGTACATGGGCGGTCGTTTACTATATCGTTATCCTTAGTTTGTGCAAACTCACATGATGGTGGTTCTAGGGGTCGTGGTGTCTGGTCTGCCGGCCCAGCACTTCTCTAAGTGCGAGTCTTGGGGTAGACTAATAGAACCTATTATGCTGATTGGTACTCTGGCACCACTACTCAGTGTTCGCTCTCGAGCGGTGCCTCTCTTTTGTGGGTACGAAATTCCTCTGGAGCGGTGGAGGGCTTCTAGATTTTCGCCAATACTCTCGCCACGCTGTTTCACTTTCGCTGGGGCGAAATTAATTTGAGCACTGTAGTCACCCCAACAGTACTGCCAAATGTATAATTCTGCTTTAAAGTTGGCGCGTGGGGTTTTTCTGGTCTGGGTTTAGGCGAGTGATTCCCGATTTCGTGTTTTTCGTTAGTTTCGCCAAACCCAGCACTCCCTCATGTTTCGCCCTGGGGGTTGGATTTGTCAATGAAATTCCCAAATTGCAAGTGCGGTACTTTTCAAAGGTTGCACACTGCACTTCGTCAAACTTTAAAAGCTTGTCGTGCACGGCCCGCAATTTGGGCCGCGAGCTTTAAGGTTAAGGTTATATTAAGGTCGTGACCTGTTACAAACATGCATAGAGCAAGCAGGGAATCTCGTCAAATGACCAACATCCTATAAGGAGTACGTCACAACACGTTATTCCCCTACCCCCGAGGAGATATCCCCCAACCTTCTTGGGAGAGCGCTCTATGATGAGGGCATTATCTATGGGGGACGGAAGGGGTTGCCAAGTAGCCACGAGGCATGAAGGGCAGGATGGATGGAGGGGACGCCTGAAGCGTCAAAACAAATTAAACGGAGGCGTATGTTGGTCCTGATGCGAGAGACGAACCGTTGTTGTTTCTTAGCAGACTGGGCGGACCTTCTCTACAGAAAGATCTTGAAGGCGAGATGAAATTGAGTAAGGATTAGTTGAAGCGCTTCAAACTTTGTGGAAGACGCGTCGTGGAACTTTCTTTCACATCTTGCATTCCAGATTCCATTGGCAGCTTCGCTGACGAGAACACTCCAGGGAGCAAATTGTCCAACTCTCGCATGAACAACCGAGATGACGGCGGGCAACCGAGCCAAGCGAGGATATGACAGCTGGCGCGATAGCACAAGTGAGGAAAATGTGGGAGATGGTCTTGATTTCTCCAGATGCACAAAGAGAGCAGCGACCTCTGTCATTGGCAAATTAGAATTGTGCGCCTGAAGGAAGGGCTCGGGCGTAGAGGCGGAAAACAAAGGTCTCGTTGCAGACTGGGTTGCTCCCGAAGAAAGCCATGGGTAAGGTTAGGAAAAAAGGCGGAGGAGGGGATGTGAGTGCGCGTGTCCAACGAAGCTCGTGGTCCAGCTGCTGCTGCGAATAGAGAAGAACGCGCCTAACCCTGCACCTGTATGAAACGGCCCTGCCATCCAGCGATCCAAGGTGTGTACGGCCGCAACGTCCTTAATGCGAACAATGCCAGAGCCTATGGGGGTCCGATCGATGAGGCGGTGTAGGAGGATCCGGAAGAAGGTCACAAAGAAAGTGCGCGGCGGGGTGAAGGAGGAGACCTGTATTGCAAGCGTAGGGGTGAAGTGAAGTTCCTGAGAGAGGATGAGCCAATCCCCATGTGATGCCGAATCATTGGTGGGGGCACGGAGCGTCGACGACCATGAAGGGGGGATAGCCGCGACGAGTTCGCGTAGGACGCAACGACCAGATTGAAAGCGGGACGGTGGGAACTTGACAGCGAAACCTCCAGAGAGATGGGTTCAAAGCCGTTTAACGTGGCATTGCAAATGTCGCCAAAGCGGACCTGCTGTCTAAGGAGGAACTTTTCACGGCGGATAAGGCCAAAGGGTTTGAGGATGAAGCGGTTCAAGGCTGTGGGTTCGGTGAGCAGACAGAGAGGTGACATACGAGGGGGTAGGACAGTAGGTGATAGAGACAAAAATGCGTGGAGTTCTGCGAGCGCACGTTGGGGGATGGACGGAGACAGAACCTTAGGATGAGGAATTGATGGGTGGGATAGGAAAGCATGGGTACCGAATGGGAGGGCAACGACATTCCTAGCGATCTCTTCAGAGGGGGACACCCCAAATCGTCATAGCGAGCGTTGGATGGAGAGGGCGCGGATCTGTGTGGAAGGAGATTCTGACTAAGCAAGGCAAGCTGCGTACTGAACCTCTGATGGTCATCAGGCAGAAGGCAAATATTTTTGCCATATTAAGCGCCGAGGCCACAAAGTCCAAGCGTTACTAGGCTCGTCGCTGCAGCTCTTGTAGCAAAAAGTATCGCAAGATGATGTGCTCCACTCTGCCCTCCAATCGAGGTTCTCGACACAAGAGGATCACGTCACTGTTTACAGCGAACAATGTCGGTGCAGAGCTAGGCCTTTCACCTAGGTCAGTGAGCAGGTAACAAAGCTCCTGGGCAGCCATGGCACTGGCGTAAATCTCGGCCCCAGCACCGGAGGAAGCCATAAACGACGACCGAGTAGACCTCGACAACACGGCTCCAAAGCCCATCCTGAAGCAGTACCCCTAAGTGAACCTGCCGGACTCCAAGTCGTCGGCGCAGGACGAGTCGCCATGCCCAGTCAGTACTACTTGCTCTCCTCCTCCAAGCACATGATCCATGCTTGATGTAGCTACAACTTTAGTGTAGTTATATTACCTTGTTGGTGGTGCACCTTTGTTAGTTTGCTATATGTACCTTGTGTGCTATAGTGAACCACCACTCTCCATTCTCACGATCCTTGGTCCCAACTCTCTCGACTCCTTCGGGCCTAGGCTCCTAAGCCTAGGCCCTACCTAAACCCTGAACGTTCTTATCGTAACATGGTAATCAGAGCAGGCCGTTCCTAGGCCTAGTTTTATGCTCGTTATGGCGGCGCCTCGAGTCGCTGCTGATCGCGACGACGGTGGCGAGCTGCGCAATGGCGAGATCCGTCGCCCCGTGCCCGTTTCGTCTTCCCATACGCTCCCGTTGCGCCCTGCTTGTCGGCTGCCCTGCGCGTGCCCTGCCCGTCGCCCCCAGCGCGCCCTGTCGGTAGCCCCGCGGATGCCCCGTCGGCTGCCCCGCGGACGCCCTGCCCGTCGCCCCGCGCGTCCCGTCGGCAGCCCCGCGTGCGCCTCGTCGGCTGCCCCGCGCAAGCTCTGCCCGTCGCCCCGCGTGCGCTCTGCCCGTCGCCCCGCGTGCGCCTCGTCGGCTGCCCCGCGCGCGCTGTGCCCGTCGCCCAGCGCGTGCTCTGCCCGTTGCCCCGCGTGCGCCTCGTCGGCTGCCCCGCACGCGCCCTGCCAGCGCGGACGTCGGCGCCAGGCGTCGGAGCAACAGCCAGCGTATGTGCCACCACCAGCGCCAGCATCAGCTACCGCCGCCCCACCCCCCCTCCCTCCCTTTCGCGGCTTCCGTCGGGGGGGGGGGGGGGGGGGGGAGGGGGAGATGTGGGGGTGGCGGGCGTGAGCCGCCAGCAGCTCCTTACGCCGCCCCCCCCCCTTCCCTTCCGCGGCTTCTGCCATGGAGAGTGAGTGGGGGGGAGAAGGGGAGGAGGGTGAGGGGGTGGCAGAAGTAGACAGGTACGGAGGGTGTGAGGTGAAAGGGTTGACTGACAAGGGGGGTGAGGACTTGGGGGCTATTAACGGGGGGGGATTGCTATGAGCGTGCGCGCTCATGCCCACCTTGTCAGAGGTCCACTGGTGATCCCCGATGATCTTAGGGAAGGGTTACAGGCACGTTGGCCTGGGGGGTTATGGGCGCACTCACCCGCTACACAAACAAGCCCTTTTATCCCAGTGGTTAGTGGCTGGGATTCTGACATGGTATCAGAGCGAAGGTCTCGGGTTCGAATTCCGGTGTGTGCACTTTGGGCATCCCAGTGCGGGGGGGTGTCAAAGGTCCACTGGTGATCCCCGATGATCTTAGGGAAGGGTTACAGGCACGTTGGCCTGGGGGGTTATGGGCGCACTCACCCGCTACACAAACAAGCCCTTTTATCCCAGTGGTTAGTGACTGGGATTCTGACATACCTAGCCCACCTCCTCTCCTCATCGGGACTTGGGGGTTATTAACGGGGAGGGGGGGGGGGATCGCTATGAGCGTGCGCGCTCATGCCCACCTAGCCCACCTCCTATTCCTTTCCTCTCTCACCTCCCCCTTTGT